TTGACCAAATGCTGGCGTGCCCAGAGGATCCTGAACTCGTTGATGAAACCGAGATGCGCGGTCGGTGACCAATTTGGCCATGGCAAATCGCTGGGGACACAGGAAGGAAGTTAGTCGGATGATCTCTTCTCCAGGTTTGGAGAGGCAATAGAATCAAACCTCGTGTGGAAGCGTCTTCCATAGGGGCATCTTGTTGGGGAACCATCTGCTGTTGCTGTTGCTGCTGCTGTTGTTGCTGCTGTGCTGCCCTATCATCGGCCTCCCACATTTGCATCAAAAGATCGCGCGAAAGCCCCGAATTCTTCAAGGCCTCAAGCGTCCGTCGGGCATCGGCCAGCACGTCGGCTGGGGCATCTTGCATAGGATGATCCATCTGAGCGTTATCCACTTTCCCCTTTCACTCGGCGAAGACGAATTGGCGTTGGTGTTGGCTTTTTCTTGGTTGGGTCAGGGCGCGTCGAGGTAGCGACAGTGTGTTGAATGATATGAGCTGATGAACGAAGTATGGCGACAGATGATCGGACGATGTGCCGCAAGGGCTGATCGGAGGTGTGTACTGGCGACGGAATCAACAGAAAAGATATCGTACAAGCAGAACGTTGAGTCGCGGGTCGACAAGACGAAATCAAGTGGATGGGAAACGGGTGCCGGCTCGAAAGCGTCGCGAGCGTAGATATAATGGGAAACGAGCGTGGAGGGTTTGGATGGTATTAAGGGCTACGGGAAGTAAAGGTCGGGTCGGGTGTGAGGTAGTCGTAGATAGAAGAAGAGGTAGAAGTAAAGAGGCAGAGAGGTAGGTGCGGTGTGGAGCGGAGCGAGGCCAGGTTAAGATGGAAACAGACTGGCGGTGGCGTGTGGTGTACGGTGTATGGTGTGGGAGGAGGTGTGTGAGGTGTGAGGTGTTGGTAGTCGAGTACTCAGTGGGAAGCGAGCGTGTGCTTTGAATCAAAGCCAGCGGAAGCTTGGGCAAAGTTAGTCAGGAACCTAGCGTGGAGAGGGAACGACTAGGGACTAGAAGACTAGGTTGGAGGCTAGGAGGCGCGACGAGGTCTGAGATGGGAGGGTAGGGGCCTTACAGCAGTGTCCGATGGATCCCTGCACAAACGACTTGTTAGCGCGCTTCTCGTTCCCGGCCGACGTCGAGACGTTGGGCAGATTTCGGAGGAGGAGCAGGGCGGGCAGGTGAGGTAAGGTGTGGTACAAGGCCTTGGGTAGGTAGGTTAGGGGCAAGACAAGGTAGGCGAGGTATTTTGTACAGAAAGGAGGGGGCAGAGGAGGACAGCTAATGTAGATGGGAAAGGCCCGGGCGGAGAGTGATGGCGGGCGAGAAGACGAGTGGGAAAGAAAGAGAGAAAGAAGGGGGAGAGAGAGAGAAAGAGAGAGAGAGAGAGAAACGATGACAGGCGTGTGTGTGTGTGTGTGTGTGCTGGGTATCCTTAGGTAGATAGATAGGTACGGATAGGTAGGCAGGTAATAATTGTGTGTATGTGTACAGCATGTGCGTATGTGCATGTGCGGTCCCCTTCCCCCCTACCGTATGTCTGTGAAGCGGCTGCTGCTGCATATGCAGGCCGACAGATATTGCACTTGTCAATTCCGTCCGATGTTTGGGGGAGACAGGAGCCAGGAGGGAGGTGATCTCCCACCCCTGCCATTTGAGCCCGGGCAAGGGCCTGCCTGGGGTGCGAGGGTCTGGGATCTGGCGAAAAAGAGACGAACGATGCTGCACACGCACACGCAGAGGCAAGTGGCAATGGCAGGAGCAACAGTGCTTGCTGTACCTTATCTCAGTACCTACGGGACGAACACCTACTGCGTATCCGGACGGGATTGGATATCTCAGCGGTCAGCCAACAGCAGAGCAGGTCCGCAGCGTAGCCCTTGACCTGGACCTGGACCTGGACGGGGACCTGGACGGGCAAGCAAGGAAGCCGTTCAGCGATCCCCAGAAAGATCGGGCTAGAAGATTTTTTCTTCTTTCTCCTCGTCTTCTCCGGCCGGGCCTGCTGGCCGTTTCTCGTTTCTTGCGCGTCCCTCGGTCCTGTACTCTGTGTCCGTAATTCCCCTCCAGTCACGCGTAAGGATATCGCTAGCATGCAGACGAGGGGTGTTTCACTCTTCTGGGAGATGTGCCTGGTTGGAACGCTGCACGACGGCATGAGGGGGTGGGAAAAGGTAAAGAAGGGTATCCTACGTATCCGACAACCTGCCTGCTGGACAGACAGAGAGACGGAGAGAGCGAGAGAGAGCTGTGGATGGCCTGTGGGAAATGCAAACGGCAAACGGGAAGCATGGGGAACCGGGGGGGGGGGGGGGGGGGGGGCGTGTTTGAAAGCAACAGGAGCAAGGAGCAGGGACGATCCCGCGATGAAACGAACCTCTCAGCGCGTCATCTTTCGGTTACGGGAGACGATCTTCTCACGAGTGGTGCGCTCCGCGTCCGTGGGAACAGACCACAAGGAGCTATCTTGGGCGATTTGGCTGCCGATGGATTTGAAAATATCAAGAAATCGCGAGGCAAGGTCGCGGGTAGTGTAGAGTAAAGTAAAGTAGCGTGGCGGCAGCGGCAGCGGCAGTGGATGCGTATGCGTGGGATGCGGCTGTTGAGACGAGCCCTTCTTTTCGCACTTGATCCCAATTCGGGACAGCTCGGTTTTTCCGGGAGCTGGGATGAGAGATGGGATGGGACGTCAATCAAGGCACCATGGAATTATTCGTACTTGTGCGCCGACCGACCGAGGGGGGAAGGGGCGTGGCAGGAGGCGTTTAGTTAAGCTCAAGCGGCTTCAATGGGATGAACAAACGAACCATCGATGCGGCGAAGGCTGGCAGAAGCCAAAAAGAAAGAAAAAATCAGATGGGGGAAGGGGAAGAAGAGCACAGAGTCAAGGGGAGGAGAGGGGGGAAGAGAAGAAAAAAAAAAAAAAAAAATTAGAGGAAAAGGACGGGTAACGAAGCAGAAGGGTCAATGGTTTAGAAGCTTCAGCCTTGCTAGGATCAGGGGTACAGTCCAGGTACGAGGGCAAATGGCAGTTGGGGCAGTTGGAGCAGCGCAGCTCAGCACAGATCACCCCAGCTTCGCAACTTAAAGTACAGTGGTTGGAAGCGTCGGCGTGAGCGTAGACGTGGGTGTGGGTAGAAGGTTCAAGGCAAGATGCAGATGCAGATACTGGTAAAGTGTGGGTGCGCGCGCGCGAGCGGGCGGGCGGGTGTGAGTGATGTGATGAGATGGGACAAGTCAAGTGGATGATGGGATGAGACGCGGGTGCGATGGGATGGGATGGACTGCAGTGGGAGAAACGCCGGACGAGTACCTACTGCGTACCTACCTTACCTACGGGAACGGACGGGAGCGAGAGAAAAGGCGACGGGAAGGAAACAATGGGCGGGCAGCTAGACAATGACCGCACACTCCACGCCCGGGTCCAATCAATGGCGGATGGGGGGCTGGTGCTTGACTGATTGATTGATTGACTGGATGCTTGCTTGGTTGAATAATACCTTGGCTTGGGGAATCAATGAAGCATGCGAAAATACACACACACACAACCAAAGCATAGCAAGCATAGCACAGCACGTATAAAGTCGTACAAAACCAGCAGAGCATCAGGCACGGATAGGCAGCATCACATCAACTGGACCCGTTTAGCAGCTGTGAACCTTGCCTTATGTACAATATCCCGTTCGCTATACGTACTAGGTAGTGCGCCGGCAGCCACGCCAGAGGGAGGCGCTAGGAAGCAAGCGAAAGCAAGCGAGAGTGAAAATAGGAAAGTGTCGAAGGGAAGGGGGCAGGGGAACGTGCGGGAACAGCGCGTGGCACACTCACACATACCATAGTATCCGTACACGCTTCAGACCTCTTGCTCAAACTCATTTCAACTGACCGACTGATGCGAGAGATAGCTTACCTAGGCAAGGTACCTTACCACAACCCCCGCTTCTTTTTTCGGAGCTAAGCCGAGAGGGGGAGCACAGAGGGAGCGTGCACCACGGCGCTAGCACCAGCTAAGGTCAACATCGGTTTGAGGGTCCTCCAATCTTTCACTTTTTTCCAAGCCATGCGGTGCGGTTGGTGATAAGATGGCAGGCCTTCTCGTTTGTTCCGTTTGCCGAACGAGACCCGCTCGACATAGCAACGGTGCATGCTCACAGCCAGCTCAAGGCACGAGGCGCAGCCCATCTCTACAGCGCAGCCATACGAGAAGTTGAAGAGAACTCGTCGATTCCTGGTTTGCAATATCTTACTACGGCTTCAAGTAAAAAGGCAGAATCAAAAGACTCTTGGGGAAACTGCTCACTGGTTCATGACTGCCTCGTTGTGATTGGCCGAGACATCACCTGAAACAAATTCAGGACCGTTCACCGACACGCCACGGGCGGCCCAGCGTTTCGAAACATGAATAGAGAGAAACACTGCCAGGAACCCCCGACGACGACAACGACGACGACGACGACACCACCACCACCACCACCATCGCCATCGCCATCGCCATCGCCATCGCCATCGCCATCGCCATCCACCTCAGTGCGTCATTCCAACGGCCACAGAGTACGGATACCTTGCCTCGCTTCGTCAACCTTACAGCACCTATGCGTTCAGTCCAGCACAGTGACAACCCCCAAAGCGTCCCATATAGCTGCACTGCCACTGTAGCCTAGCTGACGGGTGCAATCCAATGGTGTTCGTGGAGGGCCAGAGCTCGTTGCAGGGGACATTGCAGGGGACTCCTGGTGGTTTTCGGAGCCCTTGAAATGATTTGCCTGGGGAGCTATTCCATACACCAAGCTACAAGGGGGCTACTGCAGGGGTCTGTTACCGGTTTTGGCCAGCTTTAATAACGTGATGGGGCGAGAATAGGAAGGATGAGGGGAAACAATTAGCGGGAAGCTGTCCGTTGATTGGCCAAGACAGAGACAAGTGGGCACAGCACGGCCCTTCCTTTTTTTTCTTCCCCCCACCCTAGGCTTCTTCTTGTGCCCCCATCCTCTCACACTCTCTATGGCCTCTGCTTGTTGTTCACATTCTTCTCTGATCCGTGGCCTCTTGCCAGCTGGCTGTATCCGTACTTCCTATTGATCCTCACGTAGGTATCAATGGCTCCGCCCGTACTGTAATAATGGTCCTTTCTTCCTCAGTAACCGGCGTCGATGCTGCTTGTCATTCTCCGATTAAATTTCCCAAGGCAAACCCGACCTACCCTTACCGATACCGTGACCGTGGTTGCGTGGGGCTCCATATCCCCCCCTCTCATCATAAGTAAACTCGCGAGTCGGGGCGAGTGCTGCAAGGGTTCGTTTATTTCATACGTCTGGTGTCCTTCTTGCACAGCACAAGTTCTGCTTCATATCACGTCAAATATGCCAGACTCTGGTCCGATCCACACTAAACATGCATCCATTGTGCCAAGGTGACTTACATCGGACGCACGATGATACTTGGCTAGCGGCGCGCGTCTCCAAGGTTTTCTCTTGGCGCGAACGCAGACGACGCACAAGGGCGTCAGATCGTGACTTCGGCGAAGGCGTGAGGGTCGGCATCGACGGGTCCTGTTGACGCCGCCTTCTAGGGCCGGCTGTCGCCATCGCTTCGTCTCGTCTTTTTTTGGACTTGCAACTTCCACCCTCTCAGCCATCTTCCCTCCATGGAGTAGTCTGCTTGCCCGAGTAACCAACTTAAAAAATAAAAATAAAAATAAAAAATCAGCAGCTATGGGGGCCACTCTATATGAAGCACGCATCAAAACTTGAGCACGGCCACCAAAGGCGATGTGGAATCTGGAAGCTAGAGGATAAGAAACCCCCAACCTGTCGAGTCAAACGTGCCAACAAGCCAACCAGTCTCGAATTAGAATCAATGTGACAAGCCGCAGAACAGAACAGACCTCTGTCCGATTTTCCAACTTCGTGATCACTCATCCGTATCAATCTGAATCTCGAGTTGACTCTGGCCTAACCGCAAACTGCAGCCGCTGGAGCCCTGGACCCTCCTCTTTGCCTCTTTGGGGCTACCCTGATAACGTCGCCTCCGCCCTCTTGTGTCATGTCATGCCGTGACAATCACAATCGCAAATGGAGCTGCTCAAGCACGATCGTTGGCACGCTAGTGTCGTCGCCGAGCTGATCAATTGGTATCCGTAGAAGAGCAGCACTTTTGAACCGCCCTCTGCGGGCCCCTGGGGCCTCGAGGGCCTCGATGACCGTCAGTTTATCCTGTTGGTCCGTCCGTAAGCTATGGACATGCCACAATCGACGTCTTACCGCATGTATGCTTGCGCAGTGCCAGTGCAGTCAGGTACCATGTAGTCGTGCTTCCGCCTGTCAGGTGCTGGTGTAAAGTGCAAGCATCTGAACCCTGGCGCATGCAGGTTGGGCGTCATAGGTATTCGACGACATCTGCCTTGCATGGCCAGCGACGCTCAGCACGGTCAGCGGTCTGCGATCCACGGTCCAGCGTCCACGGACTGATACGACGGCATCCCGGGACCGGTCAACGCAGCGCAAAGATGCGGAGTAAGGCAAGCATCATGTACGTGCATGTTGCGCATCTTGCGTACGCACGTATCGGCCCCGCCTCCTCCAGCTAAAGATGGGTAGGACATGATGATTTGCCTAAGTCTCACGTTGAGCTAAGCTCCCCCGGGGCCGTATAGGGGGGGCCGTGGAAGTTGAAAGCATCGAGTGATGCACGAGTGATGCACAGACGAGCAGTGGCAACACCATGGTGCAAACAACGCCGAGCAAGAACCGCCGGGTAATTGGCATTGCATGTGCAGGTGCAAATGCATGGTTGAGACGGCGTGGCATGGCATGTGTGAGTTGGGTTTACATGAGTTGAGCTGCACTGCGCTGGAAGCTGAGCTCGCATCAGAGCGGCCGTCCTAATTATAGGCAGCGATCATTGAATGCTTGTTGCTTCTTTGTCGTTCGTTTAGGCAATACAACAGTTGGTGGTTGCTTTTTGTTATGTTGGTTGGCAAGATGCCTTCCGGATTGGGGTGCAGCGAATAGGAGAAATACGGTAAATACTCTAGAGTCAAGGTGCGAATAAGGTCACCAGTCAACTGAGGCTAAGGTATCGGAACAAAGATGTCGGGACCTTACTGGAAAAGGACCTTACAGATACGATGCGGATATCACGCTTGGCCGGCTGCAATTCCCATCCAGGTCATCGGATCCGAACGGTACTGTGAGATGCGGTACCTTACACTACCTTACCTTACCTTGCCTTACAGAGGTCTACTGTAGGTAAGGTACGGACGGAGACCCCAGTCGCCCCGGTCGTGGTAGGTTTACGTACAGAGTAAGGTAAGGTACCTAGGCAGGCATTGGCTCAGGCACAGGCGCAGGAACGGGAAGCTGATAGGAGGGCCAGATGGCGGCAATGTTCCATCCATTCGGAAGACCTGCAGCCCTGGCCACGCTCGCCTCTTCAGACGAAGGACACGACGACCACTGCACTCCCGTCGTCATGTCCATCCCAGCATGTTTCAAAGTCGTTGCCTTTGTGAGCCATTTGATAGATGGACAGCCAAAGAACGGACCGCCATCCGTAAGCCGGTACGCCATCCCAAGCTGGAGGAGCTTCCTTTAGGCTTCGGCCTGCGTCTATCGTCGGCATCTTACCGATATCTTAGGCATGCTAGGTTGCCTGTGCCCAAGCTACCTACCTTAGGTACCTCATGTTAAGATCCCAGAAAAGCCAATTTGTGGCCGCGGTAGGTACAAGACGAAAACGTTGGTAGCGATAATACACATCCGCTATGAAAATCCCCCACACCCACATGGCCGTCGTGGCTTGCTCACCCGTTCGTTCGTTGCAAAGTCCTGGATCTCTGGCTGGCCGCCCACCGCCACAAGCCCCGAACAAACAATCCCCTGCTCGGTTTCGCTCCGTTGAACGGATACATTGATATTCTTTGACGCTCTCGTCCTGCTGGTGTCAGGCTAGTCCTTACCGAGGTAGCTCAAAGGCGTCTCTCTTCCGACAACCTGGTTGGCGACACTCCATCCTGTCGTGATAAGTGGCTCTACTAAGGTCAGGGCCAAGGTCGTCGATTCAGCCCCATTTGACAAGAGCCTCCTCCTGCCCAGGACCTCGGGCCAAGGGGAGCGGGGGGAGGGGGGAGGGGGCAGGGTGTCAGACAACCTGGCCATCACGCGGGCGACTTCGGCGGAGCAACAACGAAAAAAGACGATGAAGCAGAAAAGGGGGGCGCAGGAGAGCGACGCGCAGATGCAGCGTGGACTTCCGCTTGAATCAGAATGGGGGTAAAGTAGGTAGGTCCGAGAGTACCCAACCAGAGATGCCAAGTTTGATGAGAATGTGGATTGGCGGCGCACACAAGCGGTTTAGCCGCAGTTGTTGGTGCCGCGACAAGCTTGTGTGCACTGAGATCGGACCAACCGCTGTCAGCACATCAAATGATCTTTTGATGATGATCCCCTTGCCGAGACCATGACTGCTGCGTTGGAGCCGGCTTCTGCAACGTTTGACCTTGATTGCTCGCGCCGGAGGATGGATCTGATGGAACCCCAACAGCAACGGCGACGACTCGTTTGCTTGCTTTTTGGTCCCCGAAACGTCCATCACCCATCCGCACAATCAATCACACGCTGCTCACTCACGATGCATCCATCATCATCATTCATCATTATCATTATCAACCATCCGTCATCATGGACAATCATCACAGTACCTACCACGCGGCCGACACTGACACCGACACCGACGCCAACATCTGATTCTGAGACTTTGGCACCCCCTTCTCGGTCTCTGCCTCCGTCTCCGTCTCCGCCTCCCCCATGCTGGGCAGCTAGTTCCCATGTGTGTGTCTTTCACCGGTCCGCCTCTCTTACCTCCAGTACGGTTAGGTACCAGAAGCGAGCGCATCTCCTTTTCCTCTCTCCATGGATGGCTTCATGCAGCATAAGCAGCGCCGGCACCCGCAGCGGCAACGCCAAAAAGTCAATCCCTTAAACCCAAGCATTGGCCCTTCTCCTTCACTTGCATCACACACACACACACACACACACACACACACACACACACACACACCACACTAGCAGAGGAGGCACCTTTCCACGCCCCCTTATTAGCCCAGGGAGAGAAGGAGCCTGCCAGTGCGGATGTTTCAACGACGGGACGGGCTGCACAAACACGAGCAAACCCGGCGCCCTACTGCTCATCATGCGGCCCGTGTCTGCCCGTTTGAGGAAATTAGCCCTGCAGCTAATCCCGAGAGCGTGGCCACCAAGCTCCGAGCCTGGTATGGCACCGGCACGCAGCCACCAAGCTCGAACCCGGCTCGGCATCGCTCAATTCGGGTGCCTCGCGACGCCTCACGACCTCACGAGTCACAGACCCAATCCGCGCCTTGTGCGACTGACTTCATGCCGCAATTTGCCCAATCACGGCTGGCCACCAAGCCCCGACACTTGAAAGCCTCGTCGACGCCTCTCTCACTCACACACACACACACACACACATCATCCGTCCTTGCTTAGCCTTGCGCTACGCTTCTATGGGTCATCGACCACATCCACACCCGCGCAAACGCGCCGAGCGAGCACAACGCCGACGTTACTTGACGGACGCCATATGGGGCCAGTGGTCTGATCAATGTCTCCATTATTCTCCTTTCCAACGCTCGAAGCTCGCAAGAAGAGACACATCAAGTATGAAGCACATCTACAACCGCTGCCAGGTCTCCTCCCTCTTCGGCCCGTAGTGGAGCTGCTCCTCTTGCCCTGTTCGGATACCCGTTGTACGGAAATCTCGCTCGCTCTCTCTCTGTCTCTCTCGATCGAAGCAGCACTCCTTTTAACTCCAAGCCACCGCACTCACAAGAGCTAGAGATTGACCGTCAATGCTCTCTGGGCTCGCCTCTGCCATCCATCCCATCATGGTCTCGCTCACCCAGGTCCCGTCGAGCTAAGGCGCGAACAGATACACTATTTCAGGAACGCGCGCGTTAGAGCCCGTTGGCTTCAGAAATCTCTGCAACGCGTTGAAACCCGTTAAGTTCACCGTCCACAGACAACGTGGCGAGGTCAGTCTCGACTTCATCGTGGCGGCTTACCCACTTGATCGCCACGAGCTCCGAGATCTACGGCATGGGCTGTTCCCCGCAAGCACTCTGCAAAAGGGAAGAAAGGGGGGAAACACCTTTTCGACGCTTGTGCCTGCGACGCCGTGTCACGGTTGTTCCGCACCTGTTCCGCGGCATCGCTAACAAGTTTCGACCGTCTCTGGCGTCGAGTCGACTAACTTGGCAAGCAAGAGGCCGCCTTTCTGCCTGTCTGCACTGGCCACCCATCGTTCTTCACAAACACACGAGCACGAGAACCTCATTTCCGGAGAAAACGCCATGCTCCCAAAGCGGACTCCTGAGACACTGCGAATCTGTCATTCGGCTCTAAGATGGCGGTCCCGTCCAGGGGGCGGCTGAGCACCAGAGCGCGTATTTATGTTATTTTCCGATGTCGTTGCTCGTTCTGGTACAAACGTGACAACTCTATTTGCAACAAGAAGAGGCCAATGGCTTCCGAGTATCCGATTTGGCAGCGTCTGACCATGGGACTGAGGCGCCTCCGCTCTGGTCTGATAGTCCAACGCGTCCGCCCGTGGCGATGGAGTTTAAACCTACTCTGTAGCGTCGCTCCTGTTCTCGCTGATTTCCCTGGCGTTTCTTTGGGCCTGTGTGAGACCCTAAAGGTCGACAGCTAAATTTACAGCCTGTCAAGCTACCCCGAGGAATAGTTCGCAACCGCGGTCGTCGAGGACAGACACATGAGCGCCAAAGCAGCTCCGCAAAAGCAGAACACGGCCGCCGCAAAGTCTTCGGTCATCCCGGTTGTCATCGTCATTAGTGGATGTCTGTTGTACGTGAAGTGAAGCTTGGACTACACCGAGCTTGTGACGATCAAGTGGCAAAGGTAAACGAATCGCATTTGTAAAGCTGGCATGTTTTCGAGTAATCGTTTTTCGGTGAGGACACTAACTCTGGAACGGTGGAAGGGCGTTATAGTCCGTGTCTGCCAAGGCCATCTCAGCCGCAGATCTGATGTCCCTCTTTGCCAGAGTAGTCCCGAGCAGCATTGCTTCCTCGATGTTAATTGATGTGTTTTATGTTTCCTATGTATTGCTAGCATGGGATTTACAACGACCAAACATTGGCGTATGACTTGAACGATGATGTCACAGGGAGCCATTTGCGTGAAGATCGTCACGCAAAGATGGAGACCCCCTCAATAAGCCAGGCCAGGGAGTCGTGGGGCTGGCTGGATGGATTTTCAGCGGGATGTCGGTCATTCTGACTGCGAGGAGCAGCTGCAAATGAGTGGGTGCGAGATCTGTCGTCGATCACGTCGCACCTTTTTAATCCATCCGAGGCCCCCCGCCTATTGAGTCAACCCCGATGATTCGCAAGCTTGTAGTCGAAATTCTTCCCTGCTTCATCTTCGATTAATATCGTCTTGTGACGTTGGCTGTTCGGTTGTCCTGTGTCCCCCCGGGATCTCAATGGGTCTAAGATGCATTGATGCTGTCTGATCCTGTCGATCATCTAGGAGATTTTGCAATCCCACGACTGCTTCCAAGCCCCCGTACTTTCCAGGCGTTGTCCACAGGGAAATATTATTACACCCTCGTGACATACACTGTAGAGATACGAGCCATTGAGGCCAGAGGGTGTGTGTGCTTTTCTTTTGATAGTTGTGAATCCTGCGTGAAGTCTCTTGTCAAATGCAATACGGCTCAGGGGCTGACTGGGAGTGACGCCTCTGGGCCGACTTGATGACAGCGGAATGAACATACCGTTGATATGCCTCTGTAGTATGACGGCAGAGTACTTCTATAGCAGTTCACCTCATGTTACAAGTTGACTACTGGAACCATCTGAAGTCTGCTAGGACGAGTGTGCTTTGTCTTAGACGACATGATACAAACCTGTTCTTTGAACTAAAGAAAATCAAGGTCTCCAAGAACATCGCCTCAGCTGACCGGCATTGACTTTGGCAGTTGCGGATGCAAACTCGGGACTTTAGCCAACTACGAGACACTGCAGAAAGGCGATCATGGCCCAAAGAATAGGTTGAGCCATCACTGCAAGATCAGGTACTGGTAAGGCGAGATAGAAGATGATGAAGCCTCCGGAGAGGGACCTCGTTTAGACTCTTTCGTACTTTTCTTCAATCTGATGGACGTCTATAAGTTCTTATGTATCTAGGTTGTTTGCTGGGTGGGCACTTACAGATATTATTTTGATCCTGAATGAACTGGTATGCTGCCGCTAGTATGACAGCACTTTCGCAGTCTCTATTGCACTTGAACCCTGGGAAACATTGAGAACCGCCTCCTTATTATAAGGACGACCATATATGTTCCCACACTATCTTAATCACTTCTCCACGGCAGTCATCGTGATTTCCAACTTATCTTGCTCTTTTTGCCGGTTCAATGGCAGACTTCAAGGCATTAATATTTGTCGTTGCTTTCGTAGTACATATTCAACCTATCAGACACAGCAATAAGAAGCCCTTTCGTCGATGTTAAACGAGCGACGAAAGGCTGACGTTTTCGAAATTTCGCTTTGATGGTATCACTACTAGACGTACATACCCACAACACACCAACCTCTTTTGACGCAGCCTGAACTGGAGCATCGACCCAAGACAGTCTTCAAAGAAGCCGCAAGTCCAAAGAAGAATGATTCTCATATGTCACCAATGAACTTGTACGTCAGGCTACCTAGTTATCCCTGCGACGACGCAGATAGTGTGGAGGAAGATGGGGTTGCTGTTTACTCCAGCCCGGAGTTCCCCGCCAGTACTTCAGACGAAATCAACTACTGTTACACCATTTAATACAGGCGCAGGAACAAGCTTATTTTAAGTCCCAGCTTATAGCACGATCGCAGATAATTGGTCATCACATACGATAATGCTGAGTTAAGGACATCCTGTCGGTCGAAATTGCTCCAGCACAGATGTGTGCACAAGCTCAACATCTGAGAGTTCATATTCGACTTTGTAACATCGGCTGCCACATGCGACCACACCCACTGGAGAACTCGGGATCCCGTCCGCTCTCCCATAGATAAGCCAGTGAGGGCTGGAGTAGTAGTCGGGTCGGTGACGACCGGCGAATGCCCGGTGTTGTATGTCTTTTTATGTTTTTCTCTGTGCATCTAGCTTATAAGGTCTTTCTCAATGGCCTCAATTGTTGTCTGCCGTGTACGTGATGCTTGCTTTCCTGTGCCGCCCGGTCCATTGTCTTGCAGGATTGCTATGTAGGCATGGCTCTGCCTCAAGGTATGCGTCAGACAAACAACCATCTCGGTAGCCAATAGCGAGGTTCCCGAATCTGGACATGGAGCTGGCTTTTGAGTCGTCTAACGGCGTAGACAAAACTCTTGTTAGTCATCCCGCAAGAACCCTAAATGAGGAGGTTCCGGTAGATGTTTGCTGATAGGTCAACAGAGTTCATGCTTTGTGGGGACTGACTGTCAAGGTCCGTCTAAGTATACAGGGAAAAGCGAGCGCTCTGGTTCACTGCCACTCTCCACGTAATCTATGGTAAGTGACTTCAACAAGTCCATGCTAAGACCGAATGATGAAGGAGCGCACACTTCACCGATAGATGTCACAGAAGCGAGCCACGAAGTGATCGGCGTAGCCCTACGTTCCCGAGACTCAAACACGTCCAAATGTCTTTCCTGCGGCTGCTCGTCCGGTTAGCCAAGCTCTTCCACCCGCCTCCATCATCGGCTCTGGCTTCCGCGACCAACTTGCAGTCTTAAGACCCCGGGCGAGGAATGGTTTGATTGTCTGGGCGGGGGACCCCTATTTGGGAACGGACATCTGATGTAGCCGCATCAGCCGCTGAAAGCCTGTCACATCGTGTAGATCTCCTGCAAGGGATTTCAATTAGCTGCACGATATTCAAGCTTTCCAAACATATCTTTGCGTATCTGGGCCGTGAAAGCACTAGCATCAGTGTTAACCGGGCTGAAACTCAGAGCTAGTAGCCTCATGTGAATCAACATGGCACGAAACAATGGCATCCTACTGCCACATTCTCCAACCCTGATAATATAATGTAATCCAGCAAACCAACTGCAAGCGGAACTTCATTCAACTCATGTAGAGCGACGACTCCGTTAAATAACCGGGAATACTCAAAGCGGTAGCTTTCGAAATGAAACAAAGCAAATCGGACTCTTGTGATCCACAATGGCAGGGTATATCCAGCGCCCCAAGAAAAATGCGCGACTAGGACAGCCTAAAAGCCTCCGCCTTTTCAATCACAATCGACGCCTCTCCCAAAAGTGCAATCGAAACCTCGAAAGTGTGAACCGAAAGCACCAAAGATGCTTACCGTCAGTTGCAATACTAATCCTCATCGTCCTCGTTCCTAGAAAAGGTCCTGTTTTTCCTGTCATAGCGTGGCATTCAAATCGTAAGAAAATCTCTGGGCCCCCGTTTCTGCGTCTTGGTCTTTGTTGCCTTGACCCTCAAACGCCTTCAAGCTGCGATTATAAAATAAGAAATAGCAGTACCAAGGTTAGTAGGTGCGAATGACCTCCATGCCGAGTGACGTGTGATGTGGAGTGTTACGGATGACGGGACGAAGGTGTCTATCGCCAAAGAAAGTCGCTCGTCCTTACAGCACGGCCGGTGGCGTGAGATATAACCCTGGTGTTCTCGCATGCGTCCTCGAAATCGTCGTCAAGGTTGTATTCTCGGTAGTACCACTGGTTTGTCCTTGGATCAAAAAAGTCACGTCGGTGAAGCTCGGGCGTATGCAGGCCAAGATAGGACATCCACTGCGTGTGTTCTCGTAGTACCGCGGGGCTGCTGATATCCTCGGGGCCCAGAACGGTGTTGATGGGTTGCGAGATGGACTTTTGTCCTCGGGCGTCCCTATCGTTAAACATGAGCATCAGACGCGACGATATCTCCTTGTCGATGGCACTGAGTATCTGCCCAGTCTCAATGCGATTGGCTAAGCCCGTGAGGTACGCTTTATGGCCGTTCTTTCTTGGGGAATGTAGATGAGCCTGGATGGGTTAGCTAGAAGCAAGATGGTCGAATGATTTGATGCGAACCTTCATCTCTCGTCTGGTGTCTGTTAGAAATGCACAGTTGTCCATAATGCAGCGATAAATCTCCTTGAGATACCCCGGCTCAGCAATCTGCGGCGGGCAGCAGTGTGTCGTAGGCTGCAAGTCTGGCAACAGGGACACAGGTCGGCAAGTTTGGCAAAGGCCCCGAACGCACGGCTCGGTGGCGGAACATTCATGATCGAGATAGTAGTGAAACTGTGAGTTGGCCCATTGTCAGCCCGACACTCTCTGGTCACGTCACATTGCCACAACGTACCTCGGAGCATCCGGGTCGAGAGAAGGTTGGATCTCTTTTAGAATCTGTCGGATTCGGCTGGTTGTCGTCAGCAACATTAATTGTCATGGCAGCGCGATGGTGTCGTTTCGCTTACGATTCTTAAGTCGATCCTGTCTTTCTGACTGACATCGCCGCGGATAACTTTTGCTGGTAGGGGAACGGCATTCCATCGTAATGAACACAAAGAGCAGACAAATTTCCGGGGCCAACTACACGTCTGGTGAGGGTCGGCGACGGCCTCGGCTTCCTGTAATCGCCAGCCAATTCCATTGCCATAATCTCGGGATGTACGGGACAGGCCCGCATAGTCCACACTCCAGCCCGTCTGAATCGGGTCCCCGTTACTAACTGATAACGAGCCATTCAACTCCGAAGGGAGATTCTGTTCCTGAAATGCCGGTTGGCCAGTGACACTATCGAGGTAGGAGCCGGCATCACCATCCACGCGGATGAGAACATGGCGAGGCGTACTTGAAGTGGTTGTAGATAGATCGAAGGGGTTGATAGAGCCGACTGTGGGTCCTGAAGCTGGTGTTGCAAATCTGCTGCTAGTGACACTCGCAGTCTGGCTGTGACTTTCAACCTCGTCGTTTGACTTCTTGGAGGCCGGAGTTGTGGTGGACGCCGTGGAGGGGAAGGAAATGGCGTCGAAGTGTTTACCCTGAAGTGATATTCCGGCATTATGACGGACACTGTTCGCATTGATCAAGGCAGTAGCGTTGTCTCGGTCCTGTAGCTGAACCTGGACAGGCGGACGAGTCGTTGGCCATGGTTGGCGATGCATGGGATACCCATGGTGTGGTGGGGGAAACGGAGCAAAAGCGTTTCCCCCGATAGAACCGTGATGCCCAAAAGATCGATTCGAGATGGTCAAGCTCATGTCGCGGGCGTCTCGTTCCTGGGTTATCGGCCGTCAGACGATTGACTGGTTGCCGCCGAGGTTATGCTTGGCTGTGTCCAGTGGTATCTGATGTTGATGGACAGCTTCAAGCTTCTGGGGCTGTTTGGTCTGAGCTTGTCGGCACGGGTGACTGCAGATGGACAAGGACCACCAAATATAAAATGGAAAAGGCTAGGGATGGGCGGAGGCGAGCCGTCATGTAAGATGAGCGGCGACTTGAGTCTTGCACAGCAGTCAGCAGTGCGACGGGAGTGAGAATGATGAAAGAAAGGGTGTGTGTGTGTGTGTGCGTGTATGGGCGCGCGCGCGTGTGGGTGGGTGATCTGATGGTACTATTCCCCTGCCGCTCACGATCTGGTGGGATCCATAGACGGCGTGCTCAGGGTTGTTTCTGCTCTTGCCAGCGTTGTTTTTCTTCCTCCCGGCCTGAATCAGAAAAAGAAGGGTAAAGCGAGTGGTCCTGGGTGGCTGCCCCTAGTCTCAGAGTATCGCGAGGAAAAAGCAATGGGGACACTCTGACACTCCGGCTCTCTGGCCTCGTCTTCGTCGTCGTCGTCGCTGGCGCCGCACTCGCTACCAGACACGCCTCACTATCTATATGTACGTAGACTGGGTACATTCAGTCCCGAAGACGAGCGAGAGATAGCTCTGTAGCTATGCAACACATAGCAAGGCTCCATTCTGCAGACGCGGAGCGCATGTGCAGAGTCGGGTACGTATCCGTACGTACGACACGCCGCGATGGTCTGCAGTAGGCAATCTTGACTGGAGCCCAAATGGGCTGGGGTTCGACGTACTACGACGTACCTATCCAGTAGCAGCGGACAAGGGAGAAGACGACAACAAGCAGGGGTAAAGGTACAGGCCCGGGGAGCGGCGTCGGCGTCATCGGGATCAGGGCCAGGCCAGGGACAGACAGCTAAGCCGATTGACAACCATCGATTGCAGCGTCCAAAGTCAAGGCTAGATTCAGATGGACAAGGCAAGGCCAGACGACATCAGACGAAACTTGCCGCTGTTCATGCCAGACAGGACGAGGCCCAGGCAGCGCAGGACCGGGCAGGGCAGGGCAGGGCAGGGCAGGCTCAGGCTTCAGGCTCGGTTCCCAAGTTGGGTTCCATGCTCGAGCAAGGCAAGACACCCAACAATCAACATATGCACCATGGACCAACCCCCTGTCGAGTGGTGTCGTGCCGCTGCCACTCTGCGCGCCGATGTGCTGTCATGCTCGTCAGTCCTGAGAAGAAACAACTGCCCCCGGTACGGACGTACGAAGAATAGGAAGACGCAGATGAGTTGCAGATTCCTGCAAGCTGTGTCTTGACTTACCCCATCAGCCAGCAACCCTTGCCTGTCTCGCCTCCTCTAGCCACGCTTGGATTGGCTCGGAACAAACCCTTCTCAGGGATGGTCCATCTCTATCCATTTATCAACACTACTTCGTCTTGACAGAGAAACCCTATCCATAGCTATCCGCGCACTAATCCACAACTCTCCGATCGATAGACGAACAAGTGGCCGATAGTCGACTACCCCAAAACTGTGGGCAAGATCTGGGGAAGACAGGCCAATGGGCAACGTTCTCGATTGCGTAGCTTGCTGCATTCGCATCTCGTTGAGGCTTAGGGTCGGTGTGGATATTGCTTTTTTCTTTTCTAGCCCCTCCCCTCCTCACTCCTAGCCCTCCGGACTCATTCCCACTAGAAAATGGATCCGCGATGATTCAAATTTCGCATACCGCGTCAAAGAGACGATGGAATGACCAGTTGAGATGGCCTGATATGACCGTCTTGGCTTCGCTTCGTCACTGGGATACGTACTCTCTCTGCTGCATCCTTCTCTTCGCGGCAACAGCATCCATGCTGATCCGTCTGGCTGCCGTCTTGTAGATACTCGGAGGCGTAACTCGCAAGTGGCCGTTGACTCGCGGCTAGGTTCCGGTCGCTCTGTCGTGGTATCCGTATGTCTTGACGACTTGGGTCGTTTAGGACTTGCTGTATGGATGCCTCACTTCCACTTTTGACCCAACCGTTGTCGAGCTACACCGCGCCACGGATATTATCTGGGGTTGCATCTGTGTCTAGATAAAGGCTGTTGAGTCTGTATAGACGGGGCTGGACTCTGCATGGTTTCCTTCAAGGCTGCCATCGGTTCGGACGTGACGTCCATGTTCCCCTGATGACTTGTGCAAGCGAAACATGACGGATGAAGACCCGATTGACAGGGCCTCAATGATGCCGATATGCAGGTTATTCGAGCTGATGGCCGGTAAATGCAGCCCAACTTGCTGAATGATGGACTCCCTGCCACCGTCGACGACGTAGGTATATGCTTTTCAGTTACTGTCTGGCATTCGAGATGCGATGTGATGCCATAAAGTTACCATCCCTAGTCTGCCCAGTCCAGCCCAGCCCAGCCCGGTGCGACTCAGGACCACATCTCCGGGCGCTGGCAGGACTCGAATTCCGATCCGTGTGAAGAATTTGCACATGCCTGCCACCTGAGGCCCGAATGAGCCACGGGATAGACCACTCACTTGAGGCCTAGCCCTGACGACGTGGAACTCGAAAAAGCAATATACCACAGCCGGCCCAGACGCCGTTGCCATCCGGCATACGATCGACATCCATGTGCCGCACCTCCAGCTCGAATCAGCGTGGCATCCAACCCCTGCCTAAGCTCTGCCCTCCAAGTCAATTAGCGGTGTGTTGCTGCTGCTGCTTCTTCTCGAGAAAAAAACGTGGGCTGCCTGTCAGGCAAGGGGTTTACGGGGCGACGAGCAAAACAATGCACCAAGACCGACGGAAATAGCAATCAAATTACTTCAGCTTCAAGGGCGACCAAGGGATAACTCAGTTCACAGGGATACAGATGGGTGTTGATGTGAAATCTGGAAACAATTCAATCCGCCCAAGCGATGTCCAATAACCCTTCTGACATTCATCCTCGTTACATTATCACGAGCCGCAACACGTATCTCCATGTCGTCTTCAACTTTGACATCCTACTCGGGAATGCCACTGAGCCATCTGACAATCAGAAGAACAGCGGCTCAACTTCGCTCGAGTCTGGTAAGACGCGTGTAGAATCAGTCTCAGCGTAGCGTTACTGGAACATAATCCGCCATCCCCGATGAATACAACTCCCGACGGCGTCATAGCCGCATCCCTTTTTCGCAGCGGATAGGGCAGCTGTCTCGGATCGTGTAGGATAAGAGACGGGGGACGATCATGGTCGCTCCCCGCCATCCTCCATCATCTCAGCTTCAGCCACGAAATTGCACACCGCAAACCGCAGTACCGGAAAAATCTCCGTGGGCCTTAACCGCTAGGATAAGTCAAGCTCTCTAAGGTCTCCCTGTACGCCATGTACTTCTGCAGGAAGACAGGTGGCCGTTAACAATATGTCTTGGCCCTGGTCATCGCCAATGAGCCGCATGGTGCGGCCCCAACGAGACCAGTTCCCCAGCGCCCGTCGGAGCAGTGTAATTCGACTTGGCATCGACCATTCTCGAAAGCGACTCAGGCGTGTTGACCAACATGTCTCAGCTTGCACAATGTACCCAGTCGTCCGCATGGTAGATGTAGAAAAAGAAAACCTGCCCCTGTGCTCGTGCTTTGCTGTTTGTTGCAGGGCATATCTTGTTGGTGTGCGTGTGTGCGTGTGTGCGTGTGTGCGTGTGGCGGTCTGGCAAAACCCTTGAGGACATGGTTCAAAACCTCGGCGTCCAGCAAGTCTTGTCGAAATCTTGCTCAGATGTGAGCAAGGCAGCGACCTCCAGTCAGTCTACCTGCGGGCCGCAAAGGTTGGCTGCCAATCGCAGCCTGTGCTCAAGCACTGGTGCTGAAGTAGTAATTTTCCCACAGATACTCATAGTCCTCCAGGATGCCACCGATGATCCCAGGTACCCTTGATCTGACGCCTCCAACGACGCCCTTCATAATGTTCTCATAAAATGCCCCGCGCATTGTCCACCATCCCATGGCCCAGCCTCTCTTGCTCCATTCGTCGCGTTCTAGAGGCGTAGTCCTGAAACTACGGTCCCTCAGCTGGCGAGCCGCGTATTCGACGGTCAACCCAACAAGCCACGGTGTCCAGGATTTCTTGTTCTTGCTCCTTGAGAGTGCGACAGCGTACACCAATGGTGCAAGTATGTGAAGCACTTCGGCTGCCTGCGCGCTACCCTGAAGTTGATTCAGCAGCTTTGCCGCTGGCTTGACATCGTCAGCGGTTAAGACCTTGCTCAACAGGTAGCCACTGATGTCACCGGCATTCGGTAAAGAGGGTAAACTCATGCCAGTTCTGGGCATCGACCAATCTTTCTCGTGGGGCTTGGGGGCTTCATCCCCAGCTTCGGAGGCATGACCATTGGCCGACTCGCCCATCAGCTCCTTCAGGCCGGTGTCCTCCTCCGACTCTGGCTCTTCCGGAATGGGTTCCCGCTCGGGTAGGACTGGCGTGACGATAGGACGGGTGCGAGTGACTCGAAGCAGCAAAAGACGGCAGATGGCTTTGATAGCTTCGAGGAGGACGATAACGCGCCATCTGCTGCGTTCGCCTCCTCGTCTTTTGGCGGCCATCTCGCACAGTAGTTGAGTATAGGTTACCATCTGCAAGAGCATGGCAATTCGGCGGTACATGGGGCTGCGCTGAGTCCAGTGCTTGGTATACCGACTGTGGGGTGATGGTAGTCGTGCCATAGGGATGCGCGACAAGGCGCGCATGAGTAGGGTATCATGATAGAGTGAAAGGAGTTGCACACTCGAATGCAGAGTTTCGGATGCGATTTCGGCGTCCCGGAACCGACCTGGGGCTCAAATATTAGTAGGAAGGCAATCGAGTCGTTTCGCGGGGAGTGGCATTACCAGGGATGATGTAGGTCA